TACTCATTTAATTGCTAAATCATTGCTAAAAGAAGATATGAATTTGGCTTCATTAGTCTGACATTACTCAAACTAGTAATTAAAGCTCAAAAAAATAGTTTTATTTGATTTTTTTTTAAGTGGATTTCAAGAGAAAAAAAGAAACACAAAGAAATTTCTCAAATCTAATATCGATTTTTCATAGTTATCTTTTGTGCTTCAACTAAAAACTCATCTGCTTCGTATTCAGTTGTAGAATCGTTGGTTAAAAAAACAAAAAAAGAAGTCGCAGAATCATTGGATAGCAGCTAAGTCGATGGTGAAGGTCCAGCAAATGCCTTTCCCCTTCTTAAAAACCTGTTATTAGAGGTTGCCGGTTACTCTTTAAAGGTAATGTGAAGTGGCCCAATAAGTAAGCAGGTGTCGGTTGGAGAGTGCAGGAGGCGATTGCTCCTACTAGCATTGCTCTTTTCTGATCCGCTGGAATCTTTACCACAATTACTGATCTTGTCGAGATTACCACAATGCCCTTTAAGAGTGGATCAAAACGGTGCGTATTGGTCGTCACTCTCTGGTTCATAAAATCCTTCCGACCGAAGATCGATCTGTATATTTCTCCCCCGCCTGAATTTATTGTTATTTCCATAAGCAAAGTGCCCTCAAACTCCAACGGACCTGCACGAAGTAGCAAAAAGCAAAATGGCGAACATGATCATCGCCAACACGCCGGCGTCCGATCTTGCCCTGACCAATCTCGCCTACTGCTCGCCGGCTGATCATCTTGACTTCAGAGTCCCTGGTCCCGGGCTCTCCCTCGCTAATGTTGCCGGCGTTTTTATTCTTTCTGTTTCATATCCGTTATCTCTGTTCTCTTCGACTCCATTTAATTTATAGTTTTATTCCGATTTCGCATACCATTCGCATTTAATTGAGAACTTAGTTAATTGTTCTTACTTGTTTTCATCAAGCTCAGTGTTAAATGCGATTGATAAATTTTTTAGGAGTGATTTTTATTCTTATTTAACTTTCATTAAAATTTGAATATTTTTTTAAAAAGAAAATTTGTAGATCATTGCAGCATTAATGATGATAAACATGATGATTCTCTGTTTCCGGCGATCAGTTTGGATGTCAAAAATTCGTTTTCTTCTTATGTTGATGGTTTGATAGTTTGGTATTACTTTATTTTCATCTTTGTTTTTTTGTTTATGAGCTTAGAAGCCAAGTTGAGACCATAAACTATCTTGTTTATCGTGAGAAAATCTTAGAGGTTTGAAGTAGAAACTAATGCTCTGAAATATTATTACAAGCAGAAAATAGGAAAGTAGAATTTATGCAGTGTTACTTCCTTAGCCTATCTTATTTTTATTTGATATGTAAATTTAACTCTTTTTTGAACCCTTATCATTGTTTTTCCAAACTTGTTTCTTTTGTAGTAATAAAATTTTGGAAATTATACTCAAAGTTGTTGGTTGTTTTGAGGCCTTGACCAAGATTTACTCCTCCTGAAAGCATAGGTAGTGGCCACATTGCCCTGAATGCCATCCAACGCCGGCATGCAAAAGTTTCTACTGGTGAAAGCATATATGTAACCAGGTCAATAATCTAACACCCTTATTGTTATTATTATTATTTTGGTTTCCAGTCCACAACTAATTTCTGACCGACCTTTGGTATGATAGATTTATTCCCCCGGATAATTTTAACATTGCATTGCTTACGCTGGAGCTAGAATTTGTGAAGAAAGGAAGCAAGAATGAGCAGGTAGGTTTTTCAGTTTTGATTCATTGTTTGCTGTCGTACTAGTTTTTCTATTGTTTCACAAGGGTAGCAGGACTGATTTTTATCCTTTTGCAGTTTGATGCTGTTCTTCTGACTAACCAGTTAAAAAAGAGGTTTATTAACCGGGTAGTGTTTTCTACAGTTTACATGATTCACCACATGCTACTAGGTTGGCCTGCTGTCTTTGATTTTGATTTATATATCAGATGGTTTTGAAAATTGATAATCTTTTCTGCCATCAAAATGGGACAGGAGTTGTTAGTCTTAAAATAATGGAACTAAAGATGATTTATATCTAATGGGTGTTTCAGTTAGGTGCAATCTCACTCTGGCGTGAGAGAAGGTAAATAGATCCCTTTGACAGTTTGAAGCTGCTTAAGTGGTTATCATATGTAAAAGTAAGGAAAGATTAGAAGTTCATTTGTTTGTCAAGTTAAATTTGTTTGCTTAGGCTGCTTGTCCAACTGTTAATACGATTATGAAAAAATGTAGTGCAGTCTAGACTGTACCAGACTGTATTACACTAACTATTGGATGGGCTTGGGACCTCCAATATTGGGAGCTTTCTTCCCCATCCAATGATCCCTATTTTACCGTTCGGTGCAGTCTGGACTGTGAAATAGGATACCCATATAATTATTACATTGCTAGTAGGGACAAGGGAAAACAAAGTAGAAGATCTGGTACCATCACTATAGGTGGATTTATGACTCTGAGAATCACTTATTATTAATAGCGCTTCTAAGGTAACCTTAATGGGGTTGGCTGGCCCAAAACGGCAAGCATCGAAGATGTTTTGATGGAATATGCTTATGCTATTTTGCGTTCTTATGGGATAAAAAAACTGCAAGAATTATTATTATTATTATTATTATTTTGATACTAATATATGCATATCCGTTCGGGTATACGTTGTAATTTTAGGAAAGTCATGTGGATAGCATGTGACTTTTAATCAGGATTAGAATTAGTAACTTATTAGAAGTTCAAATCAGAATTGAATTAGGATTTTTGGCTATTGTTAGTATAAATAGTTATTCTTCTTAGATTTCGAAAGCAGTTTTTGTTATTAGATTTTAGGTTGAGAATAAACGTAAGGTTGAAAACCAAAGTTTTCTTGGTTCCATCTTTAATTTATGAAGTTCTTAGTTTCTGTTTGTTCTACCCTTACCTTCCCTGCGTCACTCTAGATCTTGCTCAAGCCTAGATTATTAACTTATTTATATTGTATGTTTGCTTAATTTGAAATTTACAACCCCATTAAGAAAGTTTCTATATGCCAATCTTCTTGTCACCTTATGTATGCTCTTCCAAAGAGAAATGGAAAGCGTGGAGAAACATGTGCACCTTTTAGTTTTTAAGTTAGATCCCAAACATTGTTGTCTTGTCCGATAATTTAAATTTTTTTATTTTTTGTTCCTGTTTTTTAATGTGCATTATACTGCGTTTTCTTTTGGTTACTTCTTTGTTTCAAATGGAGTTTCCAATATATTGATTTTTAAAATTTTAAACTTCTTTTTCAGGGGAAGAAACTTCTCGTGTTAGGAACAACCAGTGAAGTGAGCTTCTTAAAATCAATTGGCATTTGTGATGCTTTCTCTGTCACTTATCAAGTTCCGAAATTGGAGACAAAGGACGTAAAGGAGGTAATAACAGGTTTTTGGTAAATGATTTAACATTTTACAAATGTGATAATTCATTCATTTTTCTTCACAGTTGTGGTGTCTGGCCTGTTCTGGTCTGAGTGTGATTTATTCATATTTTTGCAATGGATTTTAGAGCAATCTTAAATTCATCTCAACTACTTTTCTTTCACAGGTGTTAAAGCAATTGAACGTATTTGCTGAAGATGATATAGACGCAGCTGCTGAGGCCCTGAAGGATGTGAGTCGTTAATCCTGACTCGTGTGTTGTTTTCATTGTAAACATCAATACTAAATTCCATTACATTCAAAATTGTTTGGCAGATGCCTATCAAGAAGGTCTACATGTTGATTGAGATGGCGGCTCAAGGAGAGTATGGTGGAGCTGCAGAGGCAATCTATTCTGGTAAAGAAAAGATTAAGATTGCTCACTTTTATGATTGCCTTCAGAATATGGTGCGATTCTAGTTTGTCACCATTTTAGCCTTTCCTTCAATATGTATCGTCTTGGGGTTTTCGGTGAATGCATCTTATTTGTCACTCTACTAACCGTCTAGCAATGCATGAAAAATTATCTACTGCTGTCAAAAGTTTGGATTTAGGCTTTGTAAAATTGATTGTAACCTTTTAGAGTTTGCCACAAACAAATTGGGTTGGACTAAAGGCTCATATTTTGATAGACCTATTTGTCATATTCTGAACATGGCAGGCCTTCCCCTCTATGTTTACAGTGAAATTTCTCATCTCTGGTCCACGCAAATTTTGGGTACGTAATTATTGCGGATGCTTGTCAATTTGTGCCTCATGCTAAGTGAAACGAATATCATACCATGTTGTTATAATTTTTTATTAACAAATGTTATTAACTATCTAATGATTTAAGTAAGTAGTTTAATGGTACTCTATTTCTAATAAAAATATGAGATTTTAAGTTTAAATTTTATGTTAGGCAGTGTGGAGCAGGTTAAAATATCCCAAGGGAAAAAAAAATGTTATCGACCAATACTTTTGTTAGGTGGTGTCAAAAATGCCTCTTGATTTGTGAATCATTGAAGTTATTGTAGTTAGGTAAGACAGATTAAAAATGAAAATGTTATGAAAAATATGTTTTTGAAGTACTAGATCTGATTTGGTAGTCATACATGCCAGTCACAGTGAAAATTAGTGGTGGGTGTGGTTTGGTTTCAATTACAATTAAAATCAAATTATTGGTTAATTAAAATTTTAAGTTTTAAATTTTAATAGCTATTAATTAAACCAAAAAAGACACTTTCGGTTGCATTTTGAGAGTAAAACCATTTTAGTTTTGGTTTTAATTAATTAAAATTTTATTTTTATTTTTTAATAATATTTTTAAATTCTTTAATTATTATTTATTAATTTCTATTACTAAGAAAAACTAAAATTTACTCAAATAAATAAATAATTTGGTGAAATGTGATTAAAAAAACCTTTAAAAAAATCTAAAAATAATTAAAAAGTGTATATAAAAGTTTTTTAGGTTAAAAATTTGGGTTATACTCACTATAGTCATTAATTTTTAAAATTTTCAACTTAATAATTAAAACTTAAATCATTGAAAATTAGTTTGATTTGTTTTTTAATCAAATAAACCTAAAACTCTATTCCATCTTATCCGTCGGCTATGATTTCATTGGTTTTCATTTTTTTTCGTTTTTTCAGATTGCGAATTTATTGACTAACCCCTTGTGAAAATTGTGGGAGGCCCAGAATATAAAACTTCTAAACAAATTTTCTAACTACTCCGTTTTTGTCCGAAGGTGATACTTAAGAATTTAAAATGTCACTCTCTAGAATTTTATTGATTACTAAATTAATATTTAATAATCAATAATTACTATTGTTTATAATCTTATAATAACAATCATTATCACATATTCATAGCTACGCCGGCCTACCTGAATTTGTCTTAACAGGCGTAGTACCATATCCGTTATCCACGTCTAATCCCTACCGTGATTACATGAGAATAACCTTGTTGTTGACACTCTCATGAGCCAATTGTGAAAACTATTCCTCATCAATTCCTCATGGCATATTTAGATTTGTTTAATAATATTTTTTTGATATTTTAATTTTTATATTTTTTTATTATTTAAAAAATATATATATATATTTTAATCAAAATAATTACTAAATATATTAAATATATTTTATATATATTTAAAATATTAAGAGATTGAAAAACTAATGGCTGTAGTTATAAATTAGAACTCTTAAGCTAAGCCTACGTACGTCCTTTTAATGAAACGAACGACCACCTTTTATTTTGGTCACAAAAGCAATATATTCGATTTTAGAGCTTTGCTTTACCATTAGGTATATATGTATCTTAATCCTAAAGGATGGATTTATTTACGTCATTTTATAAATTAAATTTGAAAATCAAATTTATAATTAACATTTAAAAATTTTATTATTTTTAAATACATCATATTAATGTGAAGTATCTTTTTAAAATTGTTTGAAGAGAAATGAATTTTAAAGTTTATAAAAATAAATCTAAAAATACTTTAACAGTAAATATTATAATAATAATAATAATAATAATAAACAACTTATGGAGTTACAACTGATTGATTTTGCCTGCCCTTGTCCCTTGATGAGGAGATGTGCTGTCCAGTTGATGTTTCGACTAGAGCATGGGGGTTGAAAAACAAACCAAATTAATGTTTTGCATGAGCAAGGTCTTTCATGTCCTAATTTGAAGTTTAATTGAAGTTCTCTATGCTGACATGGTCATAACTAATAAAGATTTACTTCAAATTTTGGGTTAAAGCAATGGCAAAAGAAAAAAAAAAAAAATCTAATGTATATCTAACCGAATTTTAGATAAATAATATATGTATGTGTTTTGTAGTTTAATACAATATAAATTATAAAATACTTTTTCAATATAATATTGTCATCTAATCCGAACAGCCATGGAAATTTTCTTTTTCGGACCTGAATCATGGAAAAGTTTGCATGAGCCTTCTACGTTGTTGTATCATTATGTACCAAAATGGAGTGTCAATGGACGACTCAAATTTTAGTTTAAAGATTTTATATTTGAATTTTAAATTGAGTAAAAAAAATTTTAAAAATAATTTTTTTATAAGTAATCATTTGATGTATCAAAACAAAATTATATACCAAGATGACCCTTATGTGGCTCTTAGAAGTGCCTAGGTAGGAAAAAAAATTCAAAAAAGTAAAAATGAAAAAAATGATGGTGAATCTCATATGTTGTCACTTAACTTTGCCAAAAGTAACATTTTGGTATATCAACTTACAGTCTTAACAAATAGTCACTCATCCTTTTAAAATTGCTTAATCGTTAGTCATTTATTATTTAAACTAACAGAAAAGCTAAGCACCATTTAATAAACATGTTAATACCACATAAAATCTACCGTGGCTTAATTTAATTTACATGGTGCACAATGTTAGTTAACCACATAAGGTTGTAAATTATAGTGAGTCATCTTCAATTCATTAATGCATTTCATCCTCATAAAATTAAGCTATGATATCCTTGAAAATTTTATTGGAAAGCTTCAATCCTCTATGTAATGTGCTCAAATTGTAGAGAAATTGTAGATGTATATAACGAGATTTGTCAAAAACTCTTTAAAGAGTCAGAATATTTGGTCTTAGTTTCAACATTTTGATCTTAATTTCCTTGAACTCTCTTTAGTTTGTCTCTTGTATTAAGCCATGCCAAATCTTACGTGGTATTTAACCATGTTTTTAATTGTTCTTCCATTAGCTTGAATGATGGGTGAATTTAAAAAAAAAAAAAAAAAAGGGCAGTGGATGGAAACTTAAAAAGTTGCGGCACCATATGTCCCATTATATACTATATACTATAAATCAGAGAAAATGCACATCCTCAATGAATGGGAAATCATTTAATAAAAAAAAATAGAACGTACAGAAGATGCAGTATTTTTTTTAATACATTTTACACGCATATTATATAATTTAAATTTAAAACATTTTATTAACCAAAAAAACAAAAACCCTGAATTTGCACTTTTCCCATACAAAAATTCCAGGCGTGGAGGTTGGGAAACAGTGAGAGACAAGAAGAAGCTACTGATTCAATGACACAACTTTTTGAAATTCTATTATTAAAAGTATGATTTTCTGTTTTTCTCATAAATCAAGACCCCTACTTTTTATTGTTAAAAAAAAAAAAAAGATCCCTACTTTTTAAAAGTTTTTATCTGACGATATCATTAAGTGCAGAAAGTTAATCTCTTTTTAGTAAATTATAAATCATAAATTTATTAATTAAATTTTTTTAAAAATAATAATTTAATTAATAAAAAAATATAATATTTTTTTAATATGTTAAAAATATATTTATTATATATTTTTATATTAATTTATATAAAAAATTATAAAAATTAACATTAATTTGGTCATTATTATCAATTGAATAAATTTAATTAGATAGATATTCAAATTATTGTTAGCTTATATTTTTTTCTATGTTAATAAATAACAAAAAAATAAATATAATATCATAAATAAATTTTTAAATAAAAATTTTAATTATATAATAATATATTATATTATAAATTTATAATATCAATGATCTTTTAATTTATAATATTTCCATATTTCAAAAACTTAAAATCATATTCTTAATTTAAAAAGTTTTAAAAGACTGTTTGTTTACTGCAGTTAGACTTTTGATCCAATGATCTTAGGTCACTTGTTAAATGCATTCTCCCATGAACAACGGGTCGACTCCGGTCATTGCATATTTGTTCATAAACCAAAAAAAAAAAAAAAAAAAAAAAAGTTCGAAATCTCTTATGGATTATGACTTGAGGACGAAAACAAGCATCTGTAGATCCCACGTGATCAATGTCTGACTAGTGAAAAGAAATGGCGTGACAAACGTTTTTAACATTTTGCAGAAAAAAACTGCTTTTCATAATAATAATTAAATAGCGCACTATATGAATACTACCGTTAATTTAATAGTTAATTTTTTAAAATATTATCAATATTTTTTTGAAAATAGGTAATGGAAAATATTATTAATATTAAAAATTATAAATCAATGTAAAATTTTTTATTCCTAAAGCATATTTGGTATAACATATAATAGATTGTGAATAGCATATAATAATAAAGAGTAATAGGTAATGGTTAATAAATAACAAGTGATGAATAACAAAAAATGAATAATAAATTATAAATAGTAAATTTTGATTAATATAATTATTTGATTATATAATAATTAGTAATTATTATTTAACATTAAATAACTAATAATAACATGTTTTAAAGTAATTATGTATATTTTTTCTTTTTATTATTAAAAATTATTAATTTTATAAAAATAATAAATAAATAAAATGTACAAGTGTGAATCATATACTCATTTTTATTTTTAATAGAAAATGTTATTTTCACATAAAAATAAAATGTAATTAATTTGTCTAATTAGTAAATTTTTTTATGAATTTAATATAATTTTACTATAATAAGTTAATGTAAAAAATAAAAATATGATAATCACTTAATGTTATTAAAAATAATAAATGAAATTTAAACTAATTATATAAATAGAAATTAAATATTGTGATAAAATTAAAAAATTAAAAAAAATTGTCAATAAAATTAAAAAATTTTAATTCTTTAGTAGTTTGGATTTTAATTACCATCTATTAAATTTTAAATTATTGAATAAAAATTTTATCAAACACTTAATTTATAATGATTGTAAAATAAATATATTTACTAAACATCTATGCTATACCACTAGTTATTATTTTTAATTTGCACTGATAATATATTAGTTTGAATGAAGAAAATTTAATTTCTATTAAATAATATCATAAATTTAAGTCTTATAAATAAAAAAAATAAGTACGAGCAAAATTTTCTCTTTTATAAAATTAAATATAATTCAACTCTAAATTAATTAAAACACAATATAATTTTTAAATACTAAGTGATTTAATATCAAAATTACCTTCAAATCGCTGCATTAAACTGTCCTTTCTTATTTATCTTATTCCTTACTCAAAATAATAAACAGGAATATCCTTCCTATAAGAAGTCTACTACCTGTGCCTACCTCACTACTCAGTTGACTAGAAAAATAAGAAAGCCTGTATAGTGGAGATGGCAGCAGGAAGTAGGGAAATCTTAGGCAAACTCACAGCAAGCAAATGCCCTTCAGAACCCTTATACCCATCTTCCCTTGGCTGTCCTTTTCCCCGGCGACAATTCTGCTTTCGTCCTCCATTCCCTTTGTTTCCATCGACGCTGCTTCAGAGAAAAATGCAAGTGAGGACAAAGATGGTGAGCAGGCCGGTGGCGACTCTCACCACTGAGGTGGCGTTAGTGAAAGCTAATTCGGTAGAAATACCATTGAAGCTGACAGCTATAGTGACTGTAAGGAAAAACAAGATGGAGAACATGAAAGAGATAATGCTTAACTTGCTAGATGGGTACCCTAAACTGAGCCAGAGAGATAAGGGTGTTGTTCTTCAGCTTGTTAGCAATGATCTATATCCTGGTAAGTAAGCATCAATTTCCTCAAGCCTCAACTCAACATTTACATATATACTATCTGCCATGCCAAATTCTGACATATTTGTGTGTTTATCATGATATTGGTGAAAGACAAAATGAGCTTACAGCTAAGCAAGGAGGCCACACTGGATTGGTCAAAGAGTTTATTAAAGACTGGAGATGAGAAAACAACTTACAAAGTTGAGTTCATGGTGGATTCAAACTTTGGCGTGCCAGGAGCCATCACAGTAAGCAACAGGTACCAAGAGGAGTTCTTTTTGGAAAGCATCATCATTGAAGGGACTGTGCATTTTGTTTGCAACTCTTGGGTTCAACCAGAGAAAGATCATCCACAGAAAAGAATCTTCTTCTCAAACAAGGTAAAAATCTTCTAGTTTCCTGTCAAGGTAGAAAATCCATGAAAAGAAAGCGGGAAAGTAAAAGAAAAAGAGATTTACATGGAAATCTGTCGCAGGTTTATTTACCTTGTGAGACACCGGAAGGACTAAAAAAGCTAAGAGAGGAAGAGCTGAGGCAACTCCGGGGTGATGGGGCAGGACTTCGGAAACTTTCTGATAGAATATATGATTACGACGCATATAATGACTTGGGAGATCCAGATAAAGGACCTGAACATGAGAGGCCAACGCTGGGAGGTCCAGAGAATCCGCATCCAAGAAGGTGTCGAACTGGGCGTCCTCCAGCCAGCTCTGGTCAGAAACACAACTAATTGTCTTAGCTTTTGAAAGTGGAAACCACTTTTTCTAACGTTTTGTTTCTGGCAGATAAAAATGCAGAGTCACCGGTTTCTGTTTCCATGCCTATGTATGTGCCAAGAGATGAATCCTTAGGGGAGCTCAAAAGAAGCGCTTTCAGTCTGGGAAAGTTGAAAGGAATTGCCCGGAATGTGATTCCTTCCTTAATCACCACTGTCTCAGATTACAGTGTTTTTGAGGAGTTTTCTGACATCAGTGATCTCTACAAGGAAAAGTCTCCTGAAAAAATGTCTCGCAAAGGAACAACGAAGTTTCCTCTGACAAAGATGCTGAACACGTTTCAGGAATTCGTAGAAGAATTTTTCAAGTTTGATCCACCAAAAATCAACTCCAGTAAGCAACAAACTTTTCATGTTGGTTGTTCTAATTTATATTTTCAACTTTATTAATTCAAAGACTGTTTCAGGAGATGTTTCATGCTGCTTGCGAGATGATGAATTTAGTCGTCTGACCCTTGCTGGCATAAATCCCCTCAGCATTGAAAGGCTGAAGGTAGGTGTGCTACACATATAGACAGCCCCTTTCCTCCAATACTCTTTAACAGCAGATGATCTATCTATGAATCAGAAAAGTGATTATTTGTGTTTACTTGAAGGTTTTCCCCCCAAGAAGCAGATTGGATCCATCAGTCTATGGACCCCCGGACTCCGCACTGAAAGAGGAACATATTGTAGGCCAGTTAAATGGAATGTCTGTGCAACAGGTATGTCATTGACTGCGCAACAGTTGAAGTCCTGAGAAAAAAAAACATACCCTGTTTCTGATTTTATTGTTCTTCATCCATTCAGGCACTGGAACAGAACAAGCTGTTCATATTAGATTATCATGACGCTTACCTTCCATTTCTAGACCGCATAAATGCTCTTGAAGGTCGTAAAGCTCATGCAACTCGTACAATTTTCTTCTTGACCCCGATGGAAACCCTCAAGCCCATTGCAATTGAGCTCAGTCTTTGTCCTGTTGATCCCAACACACCATCAAAGCAGGTTCTCTCGTCTCCAGTCGATGCGACCACAAATTGGCTTTGGCAACTAGCCAAAGCTCATGTTTGCTCCAATGACGCTGGAGTACATCAGCTTGTTCATCACTGGTATACTGCACCAGCTACCTCAAGAATGTTTTTCACCATTTTCAAACAAACAAAATCACAATTCTGAATTAGCTTCTTTTAATTTCAATGGTTTTATAGGCTGCGTGTCCATGCGTGTATGGAACCATTCATAATAGCAGCTCACCGACGGTTGAGCACGATGCATCCGGTCTTCAAGCTTCTTGATCCCCACATGCGCTACACTCTGGAAATAAATGCACAAGCTCGTGAGACACTCATCAATGCTGGAGGTGTCATTGAGACTGACTTTACTCCTGCCAAATACTGCATGCTGCTCAGTTGTGCTGCCTATCGAGATTGGTGGCGCTTTGACATGGAGGGCTTACCTGCAGATCTCATCAGAAGGTCTGTTCCAAAAGTATTCTTCAATGTGATCTTACGTGCAATTGAATCATAATGAAATGTGCCAAAGACACCAGACTTGACTCTAGTTTCATTTCAATGTAGGGGAATGGCGATACCAGATCCAACCCAGCCTCAAGGGTTAAGACTGCTCATTAAAGACTACCCTTATGCCACTGATGGGCTCCTGATATGGTCTGCAATTGAGAAAATGGTCCGAGCATACGTTAACTACTACTACCAAGACTCAAACAAAGTCCAAGCAGACAACGAACTTCAAGCTTGGTACAAGGAGTCAATCAACGTGGGTCACGCTGATGTTCGTGATTCTAGTTGGTGGCCTAAACTTTCTACCCCGGACGATCTTGCTTCAATCCTCACGACTATTATCTGGATTGCATCAGCGCAACACGCCGCCTTGAACTTTGGCCAATATCCATACGGTGGATATGTCCCAACCCGACCACCACTAATGCGCCAACTAGTGCCGAGGGAGCAAGATCCTGAGTATGCAGATTTCATCAATGACCCACAAGGATACTTCCTATCATCTTTACCGAATTTGTTCCAAGCAACAAAATTTATGGCTGTAATAGACATAATATCAGCACACTCACCTGATGAGGAGTACATTGGAGAGAGAGATTTGTCAGCCTGGTCAGGAAACAATGAAATCACTGAAGCATTCTACAAATTTTCAATGGAGATAAGAAGGATTGAGAAGGAAATTGAGAAAAGAAATGCTGATCCAAACCTTAGGAACAGATGTGGAGCTGGGATTACACCATATGAATTACTCATTCCAAGCTCAGGACCAGGTGTTACAGGTCGAGGGGTACCTAATAGCATAACTGTATAAGGTTCAACTAGTTTGTAGCAGAAAATCAAGGTTGTATCACACTCTTTTATTAAAATAAAATGAAGCCAAAAAAAAAAAGAAAATCTTCCCAGGACTTCAAAAAAAAAAAAAGGGAAATACATACAAGAGGACAATATGTGACAGACACTACCATACTCCCTCCGTCCTCTCATTCATCTCCTCAGAAACAATATTAGAACTTAAGAAATTGTGGAACCATACCCTACTGGCCAAAATATGTCAGTACGATCTATATAGGATCTCGTTCATCGGTATAATTTAATTACATGAAAATTATTACCTGTTTGGGCAGTTTCACGATCCAATACTGTTGAAGTTTTCGGTTGCTTCCACACCTAAATATTAGAAATAAAATTATATTTATTTTAATTATATTTTATTAAAAAATTACAATAAATATTAATTATTAGAAATAAAAAAATTAATAATTAAAATTTTATATAAATATAAAAAATTAATGTGTATCAATCTTGATTA